AGTATTAGCACATCTCCAGAAGCATTCTTAACAATATTTTATGTAGGAATAATATGTGGGCACCCAAGTGTGCTCCACGTATTGTGGGAAATTAAAGTGATATCTAACGATATATTCAACTGAAGATGAATAGGTTTATTAAATAATAGAAAGCGTAATATCTTTTTGTTTGCTGGTAAAATTGACTTTGGATGATGTTAAAACGATCTGTAACCAATGGGATTGTTTCTGCTTTAAGGAACTATGTTTGTTCCTCACAGAAGAGTTTTCCATTGGTGAACACTAACCCTGTTTATGTCCAAAAAGGTGACATTTGCGGAATTTAGGTTTCCTGAATGGACAAAATCTGAGTAAATCTCACAAACTAGAGTACCAGCACACTGATGAGAGATTAGCTGAACTTTGGGACTGATGTTCTGCATCCCTAAAGGTGGTCGGAGAAGTTTTCACTGCATTAATTGAGCCACATTCAGACAGCTGTGATCTGTGCTTCACAGTAGCAGTATCGTGTTCAACTTGGTTGGACGTTGACGTTCTGCTGTCACCACCTGTAAAGTCATTTTAGAATATTGTTCCAAGAGTGAGGCAAAATTCGAGTTTGAATGTCAGCATTTCTTCAGGGCTGTTCAAACCGCAAATAAAAAATTAGACATTTGAACTGATGTGATGTCATCTCATGTAGTTTCAATCTCTCACATTCTCTGTTCACTCTAGCAGTATAAGTGACATAATCATCGAAAGGCACTTTTGATAAATGATGATAATCGAAATATCTCAGCATCATTGAACATTGTACATTCAATGCGCAAAAAGTCTCCGTAAAGATCGAACCATGAATCAAATACGAGACCAGATATTAGATCATAACTGAACTCACTGACAGAATTAAGAATGTCTTCATATTTATCTGAATGAGATGTTGAAGGGACTTAAACGGGTAGCTTCTGATTGAGAGCTTCGACTGATTTTAGACGTTCTGCTTTATTCTGAGCTTGCTGCAGCTGTATGATAGATTTGACATCATCCATAGAAATAGACATTGTGAATGAGATGAGATTATTCAGATGAATTTAGACTACCTCTTGATGGTAAAGACTCAGCTCCCCAGTATGGATAAGGTGGGATGGGATTCGAACTCTGAGTCTGACAGCTGAAATTAAGTGCACAACCGATAAACCACATTCCTATCCGGAAATGATGTTCGTTAAGACAAATGAATGAGTGAAATTCAGGTATTCAAGTATTGGTTGGTAGGGATTTGGTTGATTGGTTACAGGATTTCATCATGAGTTGACATTGGTTAGAGAACCATTGGAAAGCCTGCACTGGAGCACTGGACACCTGCTTCTACCGTCCTAGCTTGGGACTCTCCGGTAGTAGGCATCCACCGGCGTTCGAACCCAGGACCTCCTGGCTGCAAGGCGAGCTCGTATACCATTAAGCCACCGGAACCCGATCCAATGGCCCATGAATCCTAACTTCTGCAAATTTGCGATATAGCGCAACCACTAGCCAATGTCTTCGAGGAGTCTCTGTTCTCAAACCCGACCTGCTGCACGTTTTTACCTCACTAAGCCAGTAATAAGACTGGTAAAGAGAGAAGGTTGGGTATGAGGCTAGCAACCCATGGCGTAAAATATAAATCAGTGCTACCGAAACTTCAGGCATCTGGCATGAAGTTCCCTATGTAATCGAAACCAACATTTAATTCCACATCTTCACGAATTGCAACCATTAACTCGAATAATCCTGAAAGCTTTTGGATTTCTAGACAAACTTGAAGTTTGAATGAAATTTAAACACTCACGTTATATATATATAAATGTATGAGCGAAGTTACATTGGGATATGGGAAAGACGGGCCTATGTCAGATTCTTTGAACATTAATTAACACATTGACTAAAGCGACAATATAGTTTGAAGTTGTCAATTACTAAACACCTGATGAACGCACGACCAACCATCTGGATACATTAAAAGCATTCAAGGGTCTGAGAAGAAGGCATCCAAGGCTAAGTTGCCTATGGTTGACAAGAAGAAGAAGAGGAGGAGGAGGAAGGAGAGCTTTGCCATCTACATCTACAAAGTCCTCCGTCAAGTCCACGCTGACACTGGTATTTCATCCAAAGCCATGTCAATAATGAACTCCTTCGTCAACGACATTTTCGAGCGTATTGCCACTGGGACAAGCAGGTTGTCGCACTACAACAAGAAGTCTACCATCTCAAGCCGCGAGGTTTAGACAGCTGTCCATCTCCTGTTGCCTGGTGAGCTTGCTAAGTACGCCGTGTTAGAAGGAACAAAGGCTGTCACGAAGTACAATGGCTCGGAGTAAAACATTCCGCCAGAAGTAGAGAACGCTACCACAGCCCTCTTAAGGGCTACTTGTGCGTCGATGGTGCAGTGGTTAGGACTCTCGCCGACCATGCACATGGTCTGAGGTTTGATCCCCTGCCGATTAACACCTGATATCTATGGTTGACCTCCAAAATTTGGGCTACCGATATCCATGCTGAAAATTCCATACTTCTACCAAAACAACAGTGTGGAATCAAGCTGTAATCCAAAATTTAAAAAAATTAACAGACAAAATAACACAGGTCTTCTTCACTTTGATTCAGCAATATTAGCAATAATACGACTGAAACCAGACCTACCTGTTCGAAGGGAATCCGTTTTGGAACCTTAAATTATCCTGATAACTCTGCACTAAGTAAATCTTTCTCCACTGATTTCATAATCTTACTTCACCCGACACTGCTTTTTTCCGCTTCGATTTAATATTAGACCGAATTCTTGATCCTTTGAATTCCACTCACTAAAATACAAAGTCTTTTCTGTCAACTTCATACACACCGAATTTTCGTTTCTCAATCTTATGAGTTCTAATCAATTGCATATTATTATCGCTGATTACACGAATATCACTGGAAACACTCAAGAACCTGTGGTTCAAAAGGTATATAGGAGATAATAGAGATAGACTGATCACATACTGTGAAGATCATCAATAGCATCCAGTGCTAGACCGACCTGGATGGGAAACGATGAGTTCTGCATGGGTCTGAGTGTGACATGAAGGAGACTGTGTGAGGAGAATATTAAAGACTATGAGCAGTCGCGGGCCAAGCTAAAGAGGACCGCAGAAAATAAAACAGAATCAGGAAGTTCTATTGAACCCCTGTGTTCCAATTGGAACGTAGGGGAACAATTATAAGAAATAATGTAGTGCGAAAGCATCACTAAAGTATCACCATCCATGCGCTCTTATTATACATGTATATATATACTAATAACTTACTTTAATCCTATCATCCTTATGTTTTTTTCCACTATGCCTTCCTTGCAATGATCTTTTCTGTTGTACAGATTTATGGTAATAAGTAAAATGTATGTTAAAATTGTATCAAAACTAGATTTATTCAATATTACAGGTTGCAAAACAGCTTCAAAGAACCAATGAAATGAATTCATAATAATCTGCCAAAGTGATACTTCTCTATCCACAAAGGAAGACTCATCGAAGCCTGCCTTTGAAAAGGAAACAGAAGTAAGACGCGGCTGCCTACTATCCCCGATGACGTTCCTAAATATAGTGGACTACAATATGTGGAACACCGTACCTAGGGAGTTTTGGATTTTGCGGATGATTTATGTCTAACGTCACACAAACTCTGAAAATTTACAAGTAATATCCAGCAAACAGGCAGAAGAAGAAACCACTGAAAACACGAATCCAAGTGATGAAAAGAGAGAAGAAAGATGTGATGAAGACGTCAACTATCCAACAAACACAACAAGCAAAGACCAATATCAATGGCAGAAATTCGGGTGAAGTTACCTCCCACACTCATCTACCAAGCGTAGCTTCAACCACAGCCAACATGCATGGCTGAGGATGATGGAACCAGTCACGATCGGAAGCCAAGTCAGAGAGACCTTCATCACTTTCATATCACTGTGGAAATCCTATTCAATCCACACCATAAACAATAAAAGTCACGTTCTCAACAGAGATTTGAAGTCAGTCACTCCTTCTATATGGCTCAGAAACTCAGCCAGCACGTCCCATAAAGCACTTCCAACAGACCAGTTCAGACTTCTATCAACAGTTGACTTCACTGGCTCCACACTGGAGATCAGATGATAAGATGGCCAGAAGGAATTCGCAATGAGAAACTCTGAGAACGAACCAATCAAACACTTGTCGCTCAATAAATATTTCGAAGGAAATTTGGGTGGATCAGATGCACTCTGAGGAGACGTGTGACTGACGTGGAGAGGAGTGCAGGCCCTTGAGTGGGCGTCTAATGGGAAACGATGAGCTGGACGTCGATTCAAGGGTGATTGTTTGGAGAGGAGGAGTTGAATGAGACTATGAGCAATCATGGGGTGAGCTGAAGACGATTTCAGAAAGCAGGATGAGATGGAGCTGTGCTGTTGAAGCTTTACATTATTCCACTAGGAACTCAAGGGAATAAATGAACTGAATTACTGAAGTGTATATCTATACCTAATGTGGTAAAACCTCCGCTTTTCTTATTTTTTCCCATCAATCCTGTTTTTGGAATTTGAATGTCAAACAATCTGTCATTGTTGTAGCCATGTTCACAAGAATAACGAAATAGAATAAAAAAAAACGCATCACTGATAAACAAAATAATAATTTCATTGCTTACATTTCTTGTCTCTCCTATTCAAAAACCCAAAACCTAATACTTCAAAACAATAGGGAATACAATAATTACATGGTGTACAAGTGGTCAGAAAATAAACATGCATAAATAAATGTCAAGTATTCTATATACAAATTTAGGCCACTTTCATCGATTCTAAGTGAATACTACATCTTGTTCCATCCAATAAGGAAGAAAGTGTGTGTGTTCATGCGTGTTAGTTGACAATAAACAAAAAAAAATAATAGAAAATTTCGATAGTTACCATGTCAACAAAGAGTAAACAAGTTTTCATATAAATATATACATGACATATTACATGTAAATGACAAAACTGTTCAATGCTTCCTTTCAGTTAGAGCAGTTTATCACTGAATCAATTGAATTGTAATTTCGCGCGCAAAATGTTGACGCATACCACCAGTACCACCACACGTGAATTTGAACAATATTACGACATACCTACTACTGATATTAATGCTAGTAGTAGCAGTTATTTAATATTTACAAAAACACCAAATGTTTCACCCGCTGACTCTTTAATTCTAAATCAACCATTACGTAGGAGTAATACTGCTGAAATGAGAAATCAAAGTCGACAAAATAAGACATTCTGTTTACCATTCAGTAGAATGAATAAATCACCTTACAAATTGTTACCAGATCGATGGTCATTTAAAAGTAATGTGAGTAGCTGTTTATTCTGTTTTTTTGTTTGTTATTTTTGATATATTTTGGTTACTAAAATGTAAAAATAAGCACTTTTTGTTGTTGTTTTTTATGGAGTGAGGACCCCTACCAAACCATCCATTATCCCCCGGCTTATTGCAACTATTATTACTCCCTAGAGTTCCGAGTGGAACATACAGCTTCTACAGCACATCTCTACTTCATTCTATTCCCCGCAATCATCTTTAGCTGACCTCATGATTGCTCATAGTCTCATTCAACTCCTCCTCTCCAAACATTCACACTTGAGTCGATGTCGAACTCATCGTTTCCCACTTGACTCTCAATCAAGGGCCTGCACTCCTCTCCACGTCAGTCACACGTCTCCTCAGAGTGCATCTGATCCACCCAAATTTCCTTCGAAATATTTATTGAGCGACAAGTGTTTGATTGGTTCGTTCTCAGAGTTTCTCATTGCGAATTCCTTCTGGCCATCTTATCATCTGATCTCCAGTGTGGAGCCAGTGAAGTCAACTGTTGATAGAAGTCTGAACTGGTCTGTTGGAAGTGCTTTATGGGACGTGCTGGCTGAGTTTCTGAGCCATATAGAAGGAGTGACTGACTTCAAATCTCTGTTGAGAACGTGACTTTTATTGTTTATGGTGTGGATTGAATAGGATTTCCACAGTGATATGAAAGTGATGAAGGTCTCTCTGACTTGGCTTCCGATCGTGACTGGTTCCATCATCCTCAGCCATGCATGTTGGCTGTGGTTGAAGCTACGCTTGGTAGATGAGTGTGGGAGGTAACTTCACCGAATTTCTGCCATTGATATTGGTCTTTGCTGTTGTGTTTGTTGGATAGTTGACGTCTTCATCACATCTTTCTTCTCTCTTTTCATCACTTGGACTCGTGTCTTCAGTGGTTTCTTCTTCTGCCTGTTTGCGGGTTTTCGCTTCCTAGCTTACTGCCACCAGGGTGTAATAGAGCTTCGGCAGAAAATCCAGACTTGGTTTCTTCTGCGTAGCTAGCAACTTTTAACCAACCACGTGTTATAATAATATTTTGGGATATTCTTCTTTTCAGGAAACCCATATCCTAGACGATGTCTAATTTACAAGATGCATCCTTGAATTTTCAAAAATGGTTCCATGTGGAAGCATATTAAAGTGCCTCTTCAGAAAGACTTTCTTATCTAACCGTGAAATTGTGAATAGTTTCTGTGGTGACTTGCAGGTGATGCTATTTGTAAATGAACTACAGGTTAATTTTGAAGTTTTCTGAGACAAACGATTATCAGTCTCTTCACATAATAAGTTGTTGCCACTTGAGTAGCAGTGTAATTTTTTCTACGCTTAGAATGAGTTATCATAACATTAGCTGTCCTGTGATACACAGCTTCAATAAAGCTGTTCCAGCCATCGGAATATTTTACCCATCAAAGTCCAGTTAAGTTTGAAGTGGAAGGAGAGATTTTTGTTGTTATGTAAAACACCAAGCGCTCTTCTAAAAACTTTGCAGTGTGTCTGGTGAACTCCATCAAATAACAATAACTTTAAATTACCTAAAGTCTTCCATATTACTCAGGTTTGTTTCAAAGATTACACACTGATGATGGAGTATTAATAACTGGATGAAAAGATTTCCAGCATAAATTATTGCCACTCATAATCACACCAGCTTAGTTACACGGTTTCACAATTTGTCATATGTATACATTCTCTCTTTCTCTCTCTCTTTTCACCTTGTTATTTGTTCCCAACTTCCAAGACACATAAGCGATCAATATTGTTGTTATCGATTACACCTTCTTCAGGCTTTACTCTCTTATACATAGCTTTATATGTATAAACAAAATTTAACCATTGACGTTAAGTTTGTGGATCAAATTGCAATTATAATGATGTGTTGAATAATTTGATAAATCCCATTGTTGAAGGTAAGGCAGTAACTCATCGAAGAAGACACTGGCTAGTGATCATGCTATATTGTGAATTGGCAGAGGTTGAAATTTATGAGCCATTGAATAGGGTCCCAGTGGCTCAATGATATACAAGCTCACCTTGTAACCAGAAGGTCCTGGATTCGAGCCCCACTGGTTGTGTACTGAAGAAGGGTCCCAAACTAGGGGGAAACAGGCGTCCAGTACTCCATGTAGGTTTCCTAATACTTCTGTAACCACTGTCAGCTTATCATGTTGAAATCCCGTAACCACTTCCCATTGTAGCATTAAGAACACAATATTCAGCGAAGAGACCCTTTTCAACGAATTTATTATCAAGCTGTACAGTCGTATATATGTGGTGAGAGCAGGCTGCTAGCCATTGGTTGATATTAATCCATGTCAATGTCTAGGTCACTAATATGGGCCGTGAGCAAATATGAACAAGGCTGTTTCAACAACCAATCACAGCAAACTTAAACGTGGGCAAATATGATTCGCAGATAGATGGCTCCACTTTCCGAGGAACTCGAAACAACCAATCAGAAGACTGCGTTTTTCTACTTGACTAGGCTATAATAATGTATGTGAAGTTTATATAAATACGTGTTGATTTCCGTAATAAAACGATCTGTTGCCTGGCCCTTGTCTTCTGTTGTTACATATATATATATATGGTTTTTAGGAAATCACATCCTGTGAGGGAATTGAATCGAAGGTGTGGATACATTTATTAGTAATAGTATGAAATGAGATTAAAATATCTGTGACTATAATCATAGGGAGGTCTATCCAGTCAGGTGTGAGGCTGGATGCCCCATCGACGACATTTTTGGTGGCCGCGCTAAATCACGAATTGGTAGAAGTTATAATTCATGGGCCATTGACTCGGGTCCCATTGGCTGAATGGTATACGAGCCAGCTTGCCTTGTACTCGGAAGGCCCAGGGTTCGAATCCCATTGGGTGCGTAATGCCAACGAATCCCAAACTAGGATGAAACAGCAGCTGTCCAGTACTCCCTGTTTTTCAATGGTTCTCTAACTGATATCAATCCGTCATCAACTCGTAAAAATCAGAATAAATAAAAATAAACAAATGTCCATCCCTTTACAGTCAAATGAGAAATAGGGATTGTTTATATTTCTCTTAAACACAAAGTTCTGGCTTAAATTTATGAATGGTCAAGACCTCCTCTGTTCCTAGAAGTTTATCATGAAGAAAACGTGGCGGACAATTGAGCATAAATTCCATAGATGATCTTAAAATCGTGTTTAGGGTTGGTAGAATGACGGGAGTCGATCGAGTTTCTTAGAATAGACCCTAGTACACCTTTCCTTTTTCCCTTGTAAAACCATGCTGGAATATGTTCTCACACCCGTGTGGAAAGCGTCCTGTGGCTGTGGCCAATGTACCTTGCTCCTCAAGAGCAGATGAACTGATAGATGCACATGAAGATGGTCAGACAGGGAACTTATGTTTACAGAGATGGGGAACAGCTATCGGCTGATGAATTTCATTTGTAGTTTTACAGTCAAGAACGTCTTACTGACTGATTTAGAGAGACGGTTTTTGAGCATATCTGAAGTCTGATCACCTAACGATGAATGTTAATTAATTGTCCATACCATTAGCGTTTTCAGTTGATGATACTTTTGTGGGATCCGCCATTGCGTCCACTAAGGCACACATCAAGAAAAGGAATGCTTAGTTCGGGTTCCTTTTCTATGATGAATCGCAATTCATCACGGATCTCTCAGAAGATCCATCCACCAGAAACGTACCTGGAATGGACAAGTAACTAGTTTTTGTATTTACGTACCTGTCTCCAGGAAAAGGAAGCCAATTCATTCGTATCATCAACATAACGAAGGTAAGAATCCATTTTATCTATTACTTGTTTCAATAAACCATTTTCAAGCTTAGGAAGAAAGAAGTCTGCCAGAGTTGGACCCATTGGATAACTCTTGACAATACCGTCGATTTTTCTGTATTAAAGGTTGTTGAATATGGAGTTTACATTCATAATGTATCTTAGAATCAGCTCTTTTAGACTAATAACTGGTGCTGAGCCAATAAACAAAGACCCAGTGATTAACCTCTCTCTCACTATCTCCACCTAACTGTATTACTATTTAATAATCCCACCGTGTCCTGTCCAACATATTGTGTTATTACATGCAAGGGAATGAAATGCACTGGCGAAGATCTGTTTTCTCCACGTTGTTTAACTTACCATGGTCAATCATTCTACGTCTAGCTGGATTTTTATTCACCACTAATCTAGTTGACCCCGATCCACACTAGTTTTACTGACCTATGTAACTGACCCCACTCAGAGTCATTGCATTTTTTTCCCTTCACGTTCCCCAGTGGAACATAGGGCTTCAAGTTAGTGGCTTAAAGTTTCTGTAGCAGTGTTTATTTTACAGGATGGGGTTGCTAGCCTCATGCCTTATTTTTTATACATATACAGTTATGAAAAGTAGAGTAAAGCTTGAAGAAGATCTAACTGAAAACAACAGTATCATTCGATTATATATCTTGTTCTGATATTAATAATTGGAATATTTAAAGATATGGAAGGTGGCAACAAGCAAAAACGAGAAGAAAGAGAGAAGGAAAATCAATTTGTATAAGGGAAATTTTTAAACCGTGTGACAAAGTGATGTGATTACGAGTGGCAGTAATTTATGCTCGAAACCTTTTCATCCAGTTAATAATACTGCATCATCACTGCGTGATATTTGAAATAGACTTATCAAATATGAAGGGGTTTCAAGTTGAGGCCTTGAAGTCTAAGTAGGGGAGATGTTCTTTCTACGAGGTGGGGTTTCTAGCTTCCCAACCAACCTTCTCTCCTCACCTGCCATCCTACCGACAAAATGAGGCTTAGGAGTGCATCGCCTGGAGATCACATCCAGACCGCTGAATTGACCGACAAACATTCCATCATTTAAAAAAAAAACTATATGTTAACCAAAAATTTTGAGGAAGACAAACTGGAAATACACCGAGAAGAAAGACTTCCAAAGCACTTCACAGGGCAGACTATCGGGTGGAATCCAAACGGAAGG